TACTAAACTGTCCAAAACAGTGTGCACGCAAGGAAATATGGTTCAGACTCCACAACACTCCTAGTATCCCCAACTCTGCAGCGCCCACCAGTACACCCCTCTCTGATCAGACATGTGGAGGAACAAGACCAACCCTGCCCTGGCGCAGCTCCCCACCCAACATACAAATCCAGGAAAGCTCCGCTCTCTTATCCTCTGCCCCTCCACCCCAACAGCCACCCTGGCCCAGGTCCTCAGAAGCAGGTGTCAAAAGAGCTCAGGGTGGCCAGATGTGGTAGCACATGCTGGTAATCCTAGCACTCTGGGAAGCTGAGGCAGAAGGATAGAAAGTTTGAGACCACCATAGACAACTTAGTAAGAACCTGATGTGAAAATAAAAAATAAAAAATGGGTGGCAATGTAGTTCAGTGAGAAGGCCCCAGTTTGATCACCAGTACTGCAAAAGGAAAGAAGAAGGAAGGAAGGAGAGAGAGAAAGAGAGAGAGAGGGAGAGAGAGAGACAGGAAGAAGGATAAGAAAGAGGGAGGGAGCAGGAAGGCGAAAAGAAGAGAGAAGAGGGCTCCAGGATGGCAGGAAAGCACAGAGGACAGAGGCCTGAGAAGAGCTTGGAGATTGATGGGCTCTGCTCCTTGCCGGGCAGTGACAGCGCCATCAGCCTCAGGGAAGCCAGCCCGATGCCTAACGGGATCTGAACCCCCCTCCCATCCTGTCCCAGGTCCCCTCATTCCTCTACCTCCTCCTCCAGGCTCACAGACTACCCCTGCTTGCCAGCCCTGCCCTGCCTGAGGTCTCCAGCTGCCCCAGCTGATTTTATAAATGGCCCTTGCAGGAGGTGGGCACCTTGGCTAATTGAATCAGTGCCCAGGAGGCAGCGGGCAGGAGGCTGGTTAGCATCACAGCTGAAAGGTGGTGGCAGCAACAGCTTGACTGGAATCACCAGGGAGGAGCCTGAGCAAGAGAGAGGCCCTGCAACCTAGGCCTTCACCGCGCCTGAAGGCAAGGGGCAGGGGCCTGGCCATTTGGCCACAAGCAGGAGAGCAGCCTCTGCAGACCGCAGTGACACACACACATCAGTGCACACGCACACACGCACACAGTTGCACACCCTAGAAAAAGAAAACACAAGGGGAAGGAAGACAAGCTTTGTTCCCATTTTTTCCTTCTTTTCTCGTTTTGTTTTTTTTTTCTTTTCCCTTCCTTCCTTTCCCCTCCTGCTTCCCTAGTTTCCCTTCCCATTTGAACATTTTCTTCTTATTTCACAATATCTAAAATACATTTTGGTCTTTAGTTACATTTTTAGTTGTGTTTAGTTGCATTTAGATACAGAAATACCACTGTGGTACATGTGTGAGACACACACCGTACAGCAGAGGTGTATGATCAGAGGCACCTCAACAATCACGTGACAAAAACACCTAAGGACATATTTCTTGGAACATATTCCATCACTTAGCAATACATGACTGTGATTAGCAAACAAAATGTCTCTGTAAGCATTTTGATATAGCACAATTCTGCCATAAAGAAGGATAAATTTGAGTCATTTGTAGGAAAATAGCTGCACCTTGAGACCATAATGTTAAGTGAAATAAATCAAGCACACAAGCTTAAGTATCGCATGATTTCTCTTATATGAGAAACCCAAAATAAAAGCTAATAGGAAACAAGAAGATAGATCTTTTCCAAAAGGGAAGGCGACCAAGAGATGGAGGGAAGGGAAAGAAGATAAAAAAAATTAAGATATGTGATGTAGTCCCTATAACAACATTTGCTAATAAAAAATAAGAATAGAAGAAAAGTACCCTAGTTTATAAGCTGCTGCTTCTTTTTCTTTCTTTTTTCTTTTTTTTTTTTTTTTTTCCTTTTTGCAACTGGGTCTCACTATGCAGTTCAGGCTGGCCTTGAGCTCACTTTGTAACCCAGGCAGGTCTTAAATGCACAGTGATCCGCTTGCCTCAGCCCCCTGAGTTCTGGGATTACAGGAATGAGTCACCATACCTGGCTTTTAAACTTCTTGTGGTATCAACAGCTACCAGAAAGCAGACTTGGAGCCCAGAGACCTTCTGGGTAGAACTGCCCCTGTGTTTTCTGTCACTCTGTCTTTCTGAAGCAGGTCTATTTCCCCACTGGGACAGCTAGTGGCCTTGCTTCCATGTGTCTATCTAAGGAGGGTTCTGTGGAATCTGCACAGTGCTGGGGTCTTGAGCTCCCCAGTATCCCAGCTGCTGGTGGGTATGAACTTGAAGATGCTTAGTGGCACCAGTTCAGTGAAGGATTGGTACACAATGATTGTGGGTGACATGGTACAGGTGAGGCTGGCTGCACTGGCAGGATCACACTCCCTGCCCCCATCACACTCCTGAGAGGCCCTGAGGCCTCCTCACTATCTCAATAACCACTTAAAACTTTCATGACCCCTCCCAACTTCCCCAAAAGCTACTTCCCCCACCGCCAGCCCTCGCCTTTTCTGCACCATCTATCACTTCCCCGCCTAGCCTCTGCAAGAGCCAGAAGCCCCTGGACCTTGAAAGAGAGGAGGACCTGAGAGGGAAAGTGACCAAGAGCTCCATCTGGGACCCCTCACCCCGGGTGACAGGTTCCCTCTCCACAATGGGATTCTTAAGGGACCAGCTGTACATGCAGATTCCTCAAACTGCCACTACTTCACCCACCAGGAAAGCCCTTGCTTCAGGGCCAGGGCCTCAACCCAGCCAGGTGCCACTAAGCCCCTGGTGGCCCTTTCAACATGCTGACACTGCCCCCTGCTGGGCTGTGCCAACATGGCCACTTCAGGTGCCACCTGTGGAAATTGGAATTGTGGCCTCTTTTGCCTAAGGGACCCTCTCCTCCCCAGCCCCAACATTCCCTGAGGAGGGTAAAGCCAGGCTCTCTGGAGGTGGTGGCCTTCCTGCCTCCCGGGTCCTGAGGCTGGGATTGGATGTGGACTTTGGACACAGAGAAAGAGACCGGAAAGACTCCGCGCTCTCTTCCTCTGGTGCACCCCAGAGCCCACGTGCTTCCCAGTGGGGCTGACTTAGGTGAGGCCTGGGAAAATCTAGGTGTTTCCTGTGCATTCTGTCCTCTACCCTAGAGCCCTTGCTAATTTCAGGTCTTCTCTGGCAGGACAGTGAACTTTGCAGAATCTTAGGAATAGAATTCAGCCTGCTCTCAAATCCTAAGTCCCTGTGGAAACTTCTCTGGTGTCTTCACCCCATAAGACCCCAGCCTGTGTGGAAACCACCTGTCTCTATGCGCTGTTCTTTCTAGGGTACCCAGGATTAAACCCAGGACCTTTGCTCTGGTTCAGTTTGGTTTGATTTTGATGTAAGAGTCTCATCACATAGTTCAGGCTGTCTTTAAACTGACTACGTAACCCAGGCTGGCCTTGAACTTGCAAAGATCCTCCTGCCTCAGCCGCCCAAGTGCTAGGATCATAGGCATGTTTTACCATGCCAGGCATTTGAAGTTTTTTTTAAAATACAATTTTTAGTTATAAGTTTCCTTGTGATCTTTATGTCTTCTATCTTACATTTGAAGTGTCCCTCAAATTTCATGCCTGGGAAACTTATCTCCAAATCTGAAAATTAATGGTATTCGGAGGAGGATGCTTTGAGAGGTGACCACGCCCTGAGGGGCCTGTCTTCCTAAATGGGTTAAGGTACTTAGTGATGGGTTATCCAGGAAGTGGCCTTGCTGTCTGACATGTTGATAGCCTCAGTCATGTTATCATTCAAGAAGATCCTCAGATAGATAATTCCAGTCCTAGGGAGGCTGAGGCAGGATGATCCCCATGTGAGTTCATCCCAGGCTACATATTGAGTCTAAAGCCAGGCTGAACTACACAGCAAAGACCCTGTTGCAAAAAAAAAAGACTCTCACCACATACTGAGCAGTTGCTTGGAGTCTCCAGCCTCCAGAGCTAGAAGCTAAATTAATCTCTATTTTATTTTACAAACTACTGCGGCACTCAGTTATAGTAACAGTAAACAGACTAAGACAGCTCTTTCCTTGCGCACTCTGACCACCTCTACAGGCTTCTGACTCTGTGTTCATGTACTTGAGGACCCCACAGCTGGGCCACCCCACAGCTGGGCTGGAGGTGCCAAGCATGACAGCTGGGGCATCTGTCCAGTCCTCGAATGGGTAGCCAGAGTTCCCCTGACCTCCATTCAGCCCAGTGCCGAGAAACACTGGTGAGGGGCCCCGCAAGGTTTTATTAAACAGAATGAAAGAAGTATGCACACACTTAGCTAGGTGTGGTGGCGGAAGCCTGTAATCCCAGCACTCTAGGAGAGCAAATGGTAGAACTGCAAGTTCGAGCCCAGCCTGAGCAATTTAGTGAGACCCCATCTCAAAAATTAAAAAATATTTTAAAAGGACTGTGGGGGTAACGGTAACTCAGTATGGAAAAGCCCTATGTTCAATTCACAGGGCTGCAGGTGGGGGAGTTACTGAAGTACATCCTCAAAGAAAATAGAGTAAGCCTCAGAGAGGAGCATTAACAGGGTCTGGAGCTGGAAAGATTTGTGTCGCTTTAGGTGTAGATGAAGGGAATTTGTGACTCTACAGAAAGCACACACTCAATTTACATGTGAAAGGCATGGGCCTGTAAAAGATGAGAGATTTAGACATTTTGCCTAGAGATATTCTTTGAGCCCCCTGCATCTGTTTCTTTCTCTCTCAGGTAAGGTTTATTCCCTTTACCTAATCTAATGTATGGACCGAAGTATGTTTAAGGGATTTGGCTTTGATGGGCCAGAAGTAAACAACAAACAAGCCTGGGAATAAAGCCATGGGTACACACATGGGTAACCTTGAGTGACTTCGTGTTCTGAAGTTGCAATCTTTTCAACAATTTTGTTACAGTTTCAAAATTAAAAATAAATGAGTAAATAAAACAAAATAAAATTACAGTTTTCCTTATATCCTCATTTTCTATCTATCTTTATTCCTCCTCCCCTATCTCAATCCCACACCACAGCACTCAGGCCACACAGAAATATTTCAGAAACATTTTAATGCCAGAGAAATCTAAAACCTGCAAAAAGCTGCAGTCATCGCTCGGGAACCTGGGACAAGAGCTGTTCCAGGAAGAGGACACTGACTAGGGCGATTCATGGACATGCTTTTGTTCTCTGCCCTAAATGACCCAGCCTCCTTTTAGGGGCCAGGAAAGCGAGGGGGAAGTGGAAAAGGAGTAGGAGGGGGGTGGGTCTCTTCAACACACTCTTCCTGCTCTAGGCTGGTGACTCACCCAGGGGCCTCTGGGAAAGAACGTTCATTGGCCAAGAAGTCAGGGGCCCCAGAAGAGGCAGAGGGAGGGGTCCCTTGCAGTGGCCAGAGGACTCCCTAGTAGAAGTTGCAAGAGGAGGCATGCCTTCCCCAGCCCTTCTCTTCCCTGACCTCTGACCCCCTTCCTGGGGTACATTTCAGCATGGCCACACTCCTTGATGCCCATTCATTTTGAACCTTTCTTAAGTACAACATTGTCATACTCAGTCCCCTGTGGCCAGCCCAATACAGAGCAGTCCTTCTGGGAATCACTGGGACCCCCATCTACTGTGGCCTTCCTCCTCCATGCTTGCCCCGGGGATTCCTGTGGGATGTCATACAGGGACAGGGTGGCCACGCCCTCGGGCTCATCATAGATGTGGTCAGGCACAGGGGCCTTAGCCTCCTCAATGCTGTCATAGAAAGGGTCTGCCGAGAGTGGGGAAGGACTTGCAAGGATGCTCTGTAAGCTCTTGCTCAGTGAACGGGCCACTGCATCGAAGGGCACAGCATACTCGCTCTCCGGGGGCCGCAAGCCAGGCTGTGCCCGTGCACTAGCCAAAGGCTGTGGCGGGAGCAAGTCGTGGGGCTGGGAGTAGGGGCTCTCAGGCCGGGGCAGCTCGGTGGGCACTGTAGGTACTGTAGCTGGCACAAGTGAGGGCACAGGAGGGGTAGCATCCTTCTGGGCAGCAATGGCCTGTTCCAGGGCCAGGAAGATCTCATTGCCTTGCCGGGTCTCAAACTCAAAGTTGCCCTCACCAGAGACACAGCGCCGGCCAGCTTCGAAGGAAAAGGTCACCTGGAGCAAGGGGAATTAGGGGTTACTGACAGGCCCCAGGGCCCGCCCGGCCTCCACCAGGAACTGTCTGAGCCTCCCTCAGGCCCCCTGACCTTGTTTTCCCCTCTCTTCTGCCTTCACTTCCCTCCCTTCCATCCGAGCATGGAGCTGGGCATACAGTTCATCCTCTGGAACGTCAGCCTCTCTTTTCCCTCCAACGTCCCCCACCTCTCCTCATTCTTCCTCCTCCACCTTCTCACCCAAGTGCCTCTTTGCAGCTTTCGCCCCTTTGCCCTCCCTGGCTCTTTCTCCAGCACCTCTGCTGTCTTTCTCCTTTCCCTCTGCCCTCCCTTCCTCCTCCAGTCCCTCTCTCTTCCACAGCCCTCTGCTGCTCCTTGACTACCTTCTTATTTGGCTGTTTCTTTTTTGTGCTGTAAATAGAAACCAGAACCTCATGTATGCTGGGCAACTGCTCTACCACTGATCTACATCCCTAACCCTTTGCAAAGTATTTTATTTTGAGACAGGGTCTCACTAGGTTGCCAGGCTGGGTACAATCCTCCTACCTCGGCATTCTGAATAACTGGTATTACAGGCATGTGCCCCCACACCCAGCTGGACTCATCTTACCTTTCAATGTGTCCCAGTATAGCCCCTTACTCACCTTGTCCCGCCCAAAGCGCCGAAGAAACCTGTAGGGCCAGTCATACAGCTGGGTGCCTGGCTCAGAGCCAGCCCATAGCTCCAGGGCGCTCACCCCAGCACGGAGGGTATAGGTACCCCGAAGCCGGCACCGCTCACTGGCTTCTGTGGGTCTTATGGTCACAGCAAATTGCTTGCAGGAGACCCCTGGAGAGGAGAAGGGGGAAAAGAAGGTAGCTAATGGGAAGCAGCTCCTTCCTCCTTCGCTTCTCATGGCCTTTCTAAGTGAGCATGCTCCAAGGTATTTAGAAAATTGTTATCCACATACCCATGCCCCCAGCCTGGATCTGGTAGGCCAGGTTATTCCCCAAAATGCATGGAAGTCACCATGCCCTCAGCTACACTGCCCCAATCTCAGGCCCACATCCTTCCTGCTGCTGTTGCCAGAACCACAGCCTGGTCTCCCTACCCCATCTCTCACTCTGAACCAGCAGCTTGGCTCCAGTGCCCTGAATGCCACAGCTGCCCAACCCTGCCCTCACATAATGCTCCCTATGGTGAGGCTCAGAGAGAAGACAGGAAACAGGGTTCTCAGTGCCCCCAGCCCAGAAGACACAGAGGGAGCTCTGGCAGGGACTGCCTGGCAGCTTCAGGTGTTGCCTGGCAGACACCTTGCACAGCCACACCCACAGAGAAAGCAATTGTTTTGTTTTGTTTTGTTTTGAGATCACAGCTCAGGACCCAGCCAGAGAAGGTTCCACAACAGGATCCTCCCCAGAGACCCTGAGCTGGGTACCCAGCCCATCAGCGGGGTCCAGCAAGACAGCGGGAGCCAAAGGTATCACTCAAAGCAAGCTGGAGCCCCTGACCTTGGTCTACACCCGGAAGCCAGCAGGAGAGGCTGATAAGAGGCCTAAGAGGCCGGTCAACAGGGGACAACCACAAAGCAGGAAGACTTGGTGGGCAGCCCCACACCTCCTCCCACCCGAACCCACACCTCGAGGACAGCACACAGCTGCTGCCCCTCACCTGTGACTGAGCTGCTGTATAGTTCGTTCTCCTCCATGTGGGGCCAGCTATCCTTCTCATCTGGTCCCAAGGACTCCTTCTTCTGCCCCTGGGGAGGAGGTCCCAGTCTTACCATCAGCACCCATCCCAAGGCTCCCTTTGACCCAGCTTTCCTTGGGGGCATGCCCAGCCTGCTAGCCCTCTCTGTCCTTTGGGTTGGGGTTCCCCCACCAAGGAGGTGCCCCAGCATCCTAACCTCGACTCTTCTACCACTTGCCCACAGGAAGTGCCTAACACTCCCCTCCCCTGCGTGCTGCCACCCTTTCTGCACCCCAGGGTGACTCACAGGGAAGGCCAGGAGGCAGATGGCCTGCATCCAGTCATCTCGCTCTGCACTGGGTGCTGCCAGCAGGTACAGGCGCTCCTTGGTCTCCAGAATAAAGGCACTGGTGTCCCGGGGACTGCTGGCCTCCCCGCCCCCCTCGACCACTCGCAGGCAGTCACTGAGGCGGATGACCTTCCGGGCAGCCTCTCCTCGTCGCAACTTCTCTGGTCCCTCATGGAGTTCCAGACGGGCCAAAGCAGAGCCTGACTCTCCATACAGCACAGCTGAGAACCGGCGCCACTTCTGAGCCAGGTGTGGGAGGAGAGAGCCAAGAGAAGTCCACCAGAGATGGAGATGGTGACCAAAGGTGAAAGCAGGGGCCACCAGGGGGGACTGGGGTGGCAAGCAGAGATGGAGAGAGAGAAAGAATGATCGCAGGACAGTAGGAAGCTGAGCAGATGACAGAGATGGAAGCTCAGGAATGAGAAAGCTGGAGAGGAGCCTGGCGTGCCACAGGAGGAGGCTGCGAGGCTGGCAGGGATTGCCCAGGGCACTGAGAAGCACGGGAATGGCCCCTGCAGACCCAGACTGCAGGAGGACAGGCTGGATGCTCAGCTGGGCAGGTGCTGGGCTGGGCTGGGCTGGGGAGAGGTCACAGAAGCCAAGAGGAATGAAAAGAACCACCCAGCACAGCCCAGAGACATCATCTTCACTGAGGACAGGTGTGAGGAAGGCCCAAACCCAAGAACTTCCCACTACCCCCTTCTGCTTCACTGCTTCAGTGGGGGTGGGGGACATGAAGGAGTGGGTGTGGGTCAGCAAGGGAAGGACTTCCTCTTTCAGACAGGCCAGGGACGAAGGAGGTTGGATGTTCTCGGGCCCCAGCTTAACCCAGCCAAGCCTACTCCACTAGGGTGTGACATAGGGAAGGAACCCCCGCTGAATCCTGAACTCCCCCAACTCTCCCCTCCATTCCCTTCCAAGGTGTACCCACTGGACATCAACAAAGAAGGAGGAATTGAGGCAGTACCTCCTTCCTCCCCCACCTCCCACAAGGACAAACAACTCGCAGCAGCAAAGAGCACAGTTTGGGGACTGCTTTGAGGCCTGGTTTGGGACACAAGCCTGAGTAAGGAAAGAGCCCTCCCAAGGCTGACCACTTGTCCACCTTGGTAGATGGACTGGCCCCACAAAGGTTAGGCTATCACACACTGCACCACCCCAGGATTTCTGGAAGCTCCCCAAAGTGGCCCGCTCAGCCCAGCCCCAGCCGGGGCTTGCTTTCACCTTGCCAAAAGTCTGCTGCTGCTGGAGATGCAGAGAGCCTTGCTTCACAGCCACCTCCTCCATCCTGACCATTGCCGCCCGCCCGGCCTCCTGCGCTCCTGCTGTGGCTCCAGCCTCTTCCTCTCCTCTGTCGTCTCCGCCTGCGTTCCCCCTTCTCTCAAGTTCATTTCCTCTCTGCCTAGGGTTTTCTGCACTATTCTAGTCTGCTTGATGACGACAGGCTGATAGGCCCTGTGGTTTCTTGCTGTGTTGTTTTTTTTTTTTTTTTGAAGAGTAAGTTTCATGCTCAAGCTTCCTGCATTTCCAGTGAGTAACATAGTATTTCCAGAAAAGCCAAATTCAAGCTCTTCGCGGAGTAACAATTCAGGTATAGAAGCTGACGTGCGGAGTGGCTGGCCCAAAGTAGTGAAGAGACTCAGAAACTAAATTAGACAGTAAAACGAGTAGCAGAAATCCCTGGACTCAAGCTGGGGACTGAGCATGGCAGAGCAGGAAGAGACCTTAGGAATCAACCACTACAATTCACTAACTGAAAAAGGGAGAAAACTCAGGTATGGGAAAGTCTAAGGGACTCCTTCAAGGCCACCAAACCGGAACCCAGGTGTCTCGACTGAGAAAGAGCTGAATCCCACGCACAGCACTGCACACAGAGACAGAGGGGACTTCACATGTGTGCACACGGCCTGACACCACTTCACACATACACAGATGCACCTTTCTGCTGCGTGGGCCACTCTCCACCTCCCCACAATGACACGCACAAAGCTGAAACCCAAACGGCCCTCTGGAGAAACAGCTTCCTCCCCAAGTACATCTTGTCTGCTACAGTTCTCCTTTCCAGCCCACATAAGCATTGGAAAGACTCTTAGGGGCTTTGGATTTGGGGGGGGGGGCAGGACGGAGGATCGAATCCAGGGCCTTCACACTGATTTACAGCTCCAGCCTTTTTAAATTTTTTATTTAATTTGAGTCAAGGTCACTTGACTTATATTTTCCATCCTGGGCTCAACTTTGCAATCCGTCTGCCTCTACTCCCAGGGTGCTGGGTTCATAAGCATGCACCATCACACCTGGTTCCTCTAAGAATTTAAGTTAAATTACTGTAGCCTCACATTTCCCAAAGCTTCTAGGTCCACTCCCACCCCTACATATGCACACACATCATAGTGGGGACTGAATGAAGGGCCTTCAATTGAGCTACATTCCAGCCCTTTCTATGTTTGAAGTAGGGTCTTGCTAAATTACTAAACTCCCCAGGTTGGGCTTGAACTTCTGGTCTGCAACACATGCCCGGTTCAATTTCTCTCTTTCATGAGCCATACTATACCCCTTGACAAAAGGCAGGGTGGGCATGAACACACCTGCTTGCAACTTGCCTAAGGTCACAGCACTGGGTTGGGGGAGGGAGAGAAACACGTAAAGCCCAAGGCTTCCAATATCTCATGCAAAGTTTTGCTAACCTTTGTCCTAAGCAGAGTCCAGACTCCACGCAAGAAGGTACACTATTTCAGGAAAAGCCAAGCTCCAGGAGAAATCTATCTTATGGCTTGAAGAAGCAAAACAGATAGAGGTACAAAGCAGAACTGTTGGGGGAATTTAAGAATTAGAGCGACACTCCTGGGGTCAATCTCATCAAGCATGCTTATATAACTGGGCCCATTTCCTCTACCACAGGAGTTCTGTTGCCCCAGTGAGGTTCGCAGGGCTCTGCACAACTCAAGCCTTCTGCTCTACTGCCATGTATAGGGCCAAAATGGCCTGGAAAGACAAATGGATGGCTCAGGGGGCAGAATCACTCTACTCAGGCTCATGCAAAGCCCAAAAGAAAACCATAAATGTTGGCATGGGAAAACATGTCTTGGGAAGAAACATTAGGATATGAAATAGGATGTGGCCTGTGCAATCTCCAGAGCCCCTCAGCAGCGGCAGCTTTGCCTAGAAGCTGTGTGATCTTTGCCTCATCAGATAAAAAGAGCATTTAGGGTCATCTTGGAGTCTGCCAGGGCAGTGCCCTTCAAAGTTCAGTGTGCGGGGCTGGGGATTTAGCTCTGCGGCAAAGCACCTGCCTTGCAATCAGGCAGTCGTGAGTTCGATCCCTGGTACCGATAAAAACGAAAAACACACACAAAAAAAAAAAAAAAAAAAAAAAGTTCAGTGTGCAGATCTTGGTTAGAGTCCAAATTCTGAAGCCGAGCTTGGTAGTACACATCTGTAATCCCAGAACTCTGGGAGGCTGAGGCAGGAGAATCAGAAGTTCAAGCCCAGTCTGGGCAACACAGCAAATGAGGGAAATCTAGTCTCAAAATATAAAATAGAAAGGGCTGGGGGTGTAGCTCAGTGTGAAGGCCCTGGGTTCAACCCCCAGAACTGAAGGGGGCAAAAAAAAAAGAGCAAACTCTGACATAGTAGGTCAGTAGGTCGGGAGGCAGCCCTGAGATGCTAGCTGCCTGGGGTTGGGGGGTAGGGGTACACTCCAAGCAGAGATTCTTCTGCCACGCAGCTCTTCTTCCCCATGGGAACCACAGGGGGGCGCCCGAGCCTATCAGATTTCTTGGAAACTGTTTAAACCTGGAGGCCTGAGCCCAAGGTTATCCAGACACCGACCTGCCCTCCCATGCCATCGAAGCTGGGCAAGTCCTCCTCCTATAGCTATTGTCTGCAGCAGATACGCAGCAGTACAAAGAGCAATTTGTACTTAAATTACCCACCATCTGCCAAGCTCTGCCCTGCCTAGCAGGACTTGAGGGGATTCTGAAGTGGAAGCACAAACCAGTATCTTCTGTGTAACCTCAGGAGAGTCCTGTGAACAGGGTTACAGACATCATGGCAACAATCAGGGACCTTAGGATTTCCAGGCACCAGTGACAAGAAGAAAAAGCATCACAGAGGAAAAGATCCCAGTGGTTTACAGAGGCACGGGTGGGGCTTGGAATACACCACGGAGGCTGTTCACTTTCCCTGGAGAGGAAGGGGTACACAAACCTGACCTGTGCCTCAACTACAAGCCACTGGGATCCTTTCCTTTACAATGGTTTCTCTCAGCAGGACTTAGGAGCGGACCACAACTCCAAGAACTTCACAACCTTTTACTATTCTCACCAGTGATTAGCAACCAAACCTTTAACACAAAAGGGTCTGTGAGGCTTTCTCTGGGGCTACAAAGGAAAGAGCAGGGGAGACTACATCTGCTTCTTGGGTAGGCTTGGGAATTAGGTGCCCCACTGATGCTGCAATAGGTAGAGGCAGCTGCACACTGGACAGCTCTCAGCACACAAAGCAAAGTAGGCATAGAGTGGCCAGAGAAAAATGTGAGCCTGAGAAGGATGAAAGATTTGGCGAAGAAGCAGAAGAACAAAGATTCTGGAAGCTCTCATCCCTGCATCCTACACCCCTACTGGCTCCCAGACTATGAGGGGAAGAATTCTTGGAGTTGCATTCCTAGCCCCTCCTTTTTCTCCATTAAATGTACTTATCCTAGGTTTCAGAGACCATGGTCCAAAATATGAAGCAGAAAACTGCAGAAATGAACAATTCACAAGTAATTTTTTGTCTTTTTGTGACAGGGTCTTGCTATACAGTTCAGGCTGCCCTTGATCTTGTAAGGATCCCTGTCTCAGTCTCCCAAGTGCTGGGACTATAGGCATGCACCACCACACCTGGACACAAGTAACTTTTATTACTGTATACTGTTATAGTCACTTTATTTTATTATTACCTATTGTTAATCGCTTACTATCATAATTACATATTGAGAAAATACAGTACATAGTTTGGTACTGTCTGCAGTTTTAGGCTTCCAACCTAGGAATATATCCACCATAGATAAGGGGGCACTATTGAAAAGAGAGAATCCAGCCAGGCATGGTGACACACATTTGTAATCCCAGAACTCTAGGAGGCTAAAGCAGTGGGATCACAGATTCAAACCTAGCTGGAACAACTTAGTGAGACACTGTCTCAAAATAAAACATAAAAAAGTCTATGGATATAGCTCAGTGCAAAAGCCTGGAGTTCAATTCCCAATATTAGAAGAAAAGCAGAGGGTGGGGATGGAGTTAGTTTTGGAACCCTTCTAAGAGAAATATAATCTGCAAGAAGGCTAAAGTGATCAGGGTAGGTATGGTTGAAGGAAAGTCTAATCTTGAGCTACTGCAAAGATTTGGATTCTAAATGTAATAGGAAGCTATGTAAGGATTTTATTTTATTCTATTTTTTGTATCAGAGATTGAATTCATGACTCCATGACTGCCAGGCAGACACCTGTACCAGTGTGCTATATCCCCAACCAGAATTTTAAATGAAGTAGTAAATTATCTATATATAATGGTTTTAAATTGATTATCAAGGAGTAAGACACAAAGTGGGGAAAGTAGTCAGGAACCTAGCATCAATGCCAAGGAGAAACACAATGATGACTTGGACCAGGATGCTAGGAATGGAGCTAAAGAGGAGCCAGTTTAGGTTGTTATGGTTTGTGTTTGGATGTCCCCCCAAAGCTTCATGCAGTCATGGCAGCAGGCTTCTATAGTTTGTGACTGATTCACGGTCCAATGCTGGGAATATGTGTATGTGTGCTATACACACCTTACAGTGGGTGTGCCTACATACAATATAAGTAACAGAGTCTTCTTGCATGCTCCTCCCTTTTTGCTCTTGTTGCTTTTGGTATCTGCCACCACCATGAGCTGTTGCCCTCTGCCATAAACTACCCTGCCCTGGACCCAGCAGATTATGGACTGAAACTTGCACAAACTGTAAGCTAAATAAACCTTTCCTTCTTTAATCTTGGGCATCAGATATTTTGTCCAAGCAATGCGAGAAAAGTAACTAACACAAGAGTAAACATCAGATGTAGCTTCTCAATAGCTGCATGTGGGAGATTAAAATCAAAATAAACCCTGGTGCATGCTTGTATCCCAGCACTTAGAAGGCTGAGGCAAAAGGACTGCCATAAATTCCAGGCCCCCTTGGGTGGGGCGCATCTCTTGGACTCTTTTGATGTTTATTTGGAGCAGAAGGATAAGTACTGACACGGGGAAGAGAATGGGAGAAATAAATATATGGGGAGGGGAAGATTTGTGTTTGGCTCACCTGGAAGCTGTAACTGTTATAGACAGCTAAGTCAGGGAGAAATATTACAGGCATTCAGATAGGGCTGGTCCCTCAAAGAAGCCAGTGCACAAGGCCAGATATACCTTGCGAATATGGGGGAAACAAGCACCTCCACTGAGGGCCAGACCTTAAGACAAAAGATAAAACAAATGCACCCATATACTTACTAAGGATAAACATCAGGGGTTGATATTCTATATAGGTATCAATCACCTTAAGGAAGCCACAAAGGGTCACCAATCCCTTATAGGAAAAGCCCTTATTTTGTATTCATACCAGCTTGCTATGTCACTTGCTTCCCCATTTAATTAATTTTACCTGAGCAATTATCCTGGTACTCTTACTGATTGACCATAGTTTTTTCCACCTCATGCCCTCTTTGCGATTCCGATTTTTTCCCACCTTGGACCAGCCTCTTGGATTTGCTCTAGAAAAATTCCTAGAAAAGGCAGGCACTTAACTCACTAGGGATCCCTCTATCTCTCTCTCCGACAGAAGCTTTCTTTCCCTCAATAAATATGCCCTGCTTTTAACTTCCATTGTTTCTAAAATTCATTATTCGATTTTAGAGAACAGGAACTCCTACTAGACATCTGACAGGTTAGGAGTTTCTTTCCCTATTTCGTAAATTCTAACCAATCAACCAATCAGGGAATCCCAAAACAGCCATGCGACTGAAACTCCAATATACCACTGTAGTGTAAGAGAGTCAGGAAGCCCTTGACTCCACCTAATGACTGGACACCGGAAGTTTGTTGCAAACCCACATTCACAGAAACCAACAGATACGACCATCGATAAGCTCCCCAGGACGGTCAAAAGTTCTGCCTCACTTTTGCTTCCTAAATCCTGAGTCAGTCTCATTGCTTGAGCCAACCGGCATACGGAACCCTAGCTACAAGGACTTCTGGGTAATGTAGTTTTAAGCTGCCCTACCTTTGCGAACCAGGAAGACAGACACATTAGGCAGATAAAGGTTGAAATGAATACTGAACATTAATCCACTATATCCACAACACAAAGGGCAATCCACTATCCCATCATTTGCATCGCGTGCACAAGAAATATAAGTTTCGAACAGCCTATGACCCTAAAATCTACTATAATCTACTCTAAGGTCCTTGAAAGGAAGGCAAAAATCACATAAAAAGCAGGAACCCGCATTATCCAACACGGCTCCTACCGGGAAAGGTGGAACTGGCCTCTACGGACCAGAACGCTGACTTTCCCACTCACGTTGAGCCCAGGGTCTTGAAACCCACCCTCATCACCGCTCACGATGGTGTCTGCCCCACTCAGGAAGCACCTAGAATATCAGTTAAGATAACAATCACTTTCAGAAAACTAACATGGTGCCGCCTGTGGGTTATCATCACCATTTGGCAGCTACTGTACGTCCATGACTGTTTGCAGAGGACAGAAATGAAAGCCAGGAGATCGCTACTGGGATTGAAACACAGATTAGAGACCAGTGGCCCCGATCCACAGGAAAAGAAGGCTACACAGACACAAATCTATTTCGACCCTATAGAGAGCAATGCATTGGAAAGGAATGAATAGCCCAGGTATCCTGGGTGGGACAACCCCTCTCCCGGGTAGTGTCACCCAGGATGCGCGGCGGGGTATGTGTGCAGGCGTCTGGAGCAAGGCAAGGAAAAGACACGTGGGCAGAAAGCAATGCCCCGGGGACGACCCTGCCACCATCCAGGAGCTCTCACCACAGGGAGCAACCGAAGGAAGGACTGGCTCCCACACCAGCGCGCGCCTCCCGCCTGAGCGAGCGCGGTGCCTTTAAAACCCATGTAAACAAAGCTTTGTTCCCCCAGCTCCCCTCCCTCGCGTCCCCCCTCCCCCAGCTCTTTCCTCCCACCCGGCGTCTCCAGGCCGCTGACGTCGCCCGCCCCTGTACGCCGTCCCAGCGGCGCTGCGCATTCTCCAACCGCGACGGGCCCCGCTGGAGCGTGCGCAGCCGGACGGCGCTACGCCGCAAGCGTAGCGCGACGAGCCCCCAACGCGCAGGCGCAGCGGCGACGGCGGCGGCAGCGGCGGCGGTAGCCCCGGCCGAGGTGCGCGCTGGGGGGGAGGGGGGGCCAGAGAGGAGCATGAATGGAGCAAAATGGCGGATCATGTGCAGGTGAGAGGAGCCGCGGGGGAGGGGGCGGCCGCGGAGAGTGGGGAGGGGTGTGGGGGGCGCACGCGGCCCCCGGGCCCGGGACGCGCCAGGCCTCGTCGCGGCAACTCGCTGCTCGCGAGCCGCCGCCCGTCCCGCGGCTCCGGGGCCTTTCCCGCCTCCTGGGCCGGGGGCCTCTTCCACTCCCTCCCATCCGGCCCCGCGCCAAGCGCCGGCGCTAGAGAAGCAGGATTGGCGCACGGCTGCGGCGCCCGATCCGCTGGCTGGGGCCTCAGGCTAGTCCTCGGCCCCCCCACCCCACCCCGGCGGGGAGCGCGGGGGATCCCCGACTGTCTGTACTGAGGGGCGCTCCCCGTCACGCCGCCGTCCCCACACAGGTAACAAAAAGAGGACCTCGCTCCGCCGAGCCTCGCTTTCAGAGTCTTTCCCGCCTCCTTCCTTCTCACGCCCCCCAAATGCGCGAGACCCCACTCAGGCCTCCTGTGCCCCTATTCTGTGCTCCCTCTGCTCCCACGTTCAGATCGCGCCACCGGGAGGGCCAGGCGCCCCTGTCCTCCAAAATGGGAGCTCGGGCTTCGGCCCACCTCACTGCAAGTCCCCCTGTCCAAGGAGAAGGAGTTCAGCGCCCACACCTCCTGCGAAACGCGGGGTAGAGGGGGGTGTGTCTAAACCGAGAGCTGCGGGATTGGAAGCACCCAGTGCTCGGGAAGGTTGCGATCTGGCTCCAGACCTGCCCGGGTCGAGTGTTGGGCCAGGCCACTTTTCCTCAAAGACACAGCACAGGCCTGGGGGAGGGGGGCGGGGAGAATGCTCACACCAAATCTTGTAGTAGTGAGAGGAGTGTGGGGTATTTCTCATAAACTAGATAAAGTTTTCCTTCTCTGTGCCTTCAATCAGATATTTTTATGACAGTCACGGATGCAAATCTGTTGTCAGGAACCTTCAGATTTTCTGCATAACCAGCCTCACAGATACTGTGTTGTGCAAAGTAAAGATTAGAACTGGAACGCAGTGCCGCCTTTATGTGTACATGCTGTATGGCATCGTTTCTCAAGTAAAAATTATGATTTGATTCCTAATATGTCTGCGTGAAGCTGGAGGGGTGTGATTTCTGCCCATCTTTTTGGGACAGAAGAAACTAAAGAAAAGGTTCATTTTCCACTCCTGGAATCAGGAAAGTAGGTAGATCTTTGGAGTGTGAAGGACAAGTTACTGGGACAGAATTCTATTAAAGTTAACCACAAATGGAAGACCCCAAGATTTGTGTTTTGAAGCCAGTATGATGGACCTAATTCAGAAATAGCAGTAAAACTTGATACAAAATGATAACAATAATAGTGTGGCTTCTCTGATAGCAGCCATTTCTGAGAAGCAGGAAGGAGTTTGTATGATTTTTTTTTTTTTAATTCTTGCATTTTAAAGGAGTAGCTAGACCCAAGTTACTTCTGGCACTTAAAGAGACAGAACCAAAGCATAGGACTGATGTGAAATGTGCTTAATGCCAAGTGGATATGTCTTTTTTAAAATTTTGGTTTCCGTGTTCTTATTTACTGAGCAAAATTACTGTGAGCATTCCAGAACATAATTTGAATAGCTTTTCTGAAAGATGCTTTGGACTGCAGAGAAAGTTGGTACTTTTATGACTGCATCTGTCTGTTCTGTCTCCAGTAAGGAAGCATCCCTTTTTTATGATCTTTCCACAGTTTTGAAGCTCAGATTGTCATTCCTAGTTGTTAGAAAGTCAGAATACAAAGCAATCCTAACAGCATTTTCGTGCCACCGGGAAAAAAGGTCACTTATTTTTAGTAAAATTTTTGTTTTTCTCTGGCCCACCCAAAAATAAATCTACCAGAGTTGATTTTTGTTGTTGTTGTTGTTGTGTGTGTGTGTGTGTGTGTGTGTGTGTGTGTTTTAATTCTTGGTACTGGGAATCGAACTCAGCACCTTGAACTTGCTAGGCAGGCACTTAAGCTGCTCAGCTATATCTCTAGCCCCAGAGTGGAAATTATCTTTTCAAAACAAAAGGGAACATGCTTGTCAGTGCATCATTTTTACTATTTATTGACTTTGAAGAGCTATTAGTCTTTAATGGTCTAGATTGTATTAACAGGATAAATTTGTAAGTGAATTTCCCCCTCTTTGGAAAGATTGGGACATAGTGCATGCGCTTTTCTTATTGGACCACCAGGTTAGTTTTATTACAGGATACTCACCAACTTTAAGGTAGCACTTTATTGTAACAGAAAACCTTCCCATGAAAAAGATACACTATCCCCCAGGTAGACCAAGTAAATAAAGAGCAGTCTCCAGTGCATCAAAAGGGAATACTTTACTCATAAAACTGTTTGAACATAAGTTTAGTAAAGGAGTCTGTTACAGATTAATATAGTGATTGTTTGAAAGCTGCATATGTGGAACTAAATAGTTGAGTCATTGTGTGTCTGGTACTTGTCTGAACCACCAGGGTGAGCTTTTTTGTTTTTATTTTCTGATGCTAAACAAGTGTTGTATGATTGTCTGAACCACTCAGTCTGAAGCAGACATCTCTCTTGTTAAGGTTGTGTTTTATAGCAGTGTGTGTGTGTGTGTGTGTGTGTGTGTGTGTGTGTGTGTGTGTTTGAAACAGGTTCTTGCTATGTAGTTCCAGGCTAGTCTTGAATTCACTATGTAGCGCAGGCTGACCTGGAACTCACAGTAATTGTCCTGCCTCAGCCTGTGGAGTGCTGGGATTATAGGCACGTGCCACTATCAGTGACATATTTTATGGGAGATTTTAAGTGCTGTAAAACTTCAGTAAGGCAAGAATCATGAACTCTATTGTTGTCATAGTCAAGCGTCTTTTTAGTGACGCATGACTATCTTTTTAGTACCAGGAATCCAACTCAGGATCTTGCACTTGCCAGGCAGGCACTATGCTGCTGAGCTATATCCCCAGCCACTCAAGTGTCTTTTTAGAACAGTGGCCTTAAAGCAGTTCCTCTGTACTCCTGGTCTTAAGTGACTTTAACTCTCCCAGTGCTTGGGAGGAAAAACTCAAAGTCATTTGTTGCAATTATCTTTGGTTACCCCTCTTTCATTTTAAAAGAAAAAAAAGTTAAATGAAGATGATGAGGATTGAATATCTTCCCTTGCTGGCTAATTATTGTAAAGAGATGAGAGCTCAGTAAAGGGTAATCATGAAAAAGATTAAGGAGGGTCATGTTAACTTTCATACTGTAGCTGGTATTCAGAAGCCTGAGAGGAAAAGGAAAGAATGTAATATAATTATATATTAAATACATTATTTAAGTTGTAAGTATCTTAAATGTAATTATATAATGTGAGTAATAATAGTAAAGAATAATTTGAGGGTTTTTTTTGAATGTTTATGCAGAACATTTATTCAGTGGGGATTGAATAGAGGGTGCTGTATCACTAAGCTACATCCTCAGCCCTTTTCTCATTTTTGGACACAGGGTCTCAGTAACTTGTCCAGGCTGAGCCAGAACTTGTGATCCTCAACCCCAGCCTTTCTGAATGCTGAGATTACAGGCTTGCGCCACTATGCCCACCTTTAACACAGAGGTTATTTACTGGGTTCTGCATCATAACTATGTGGTAACAGAAAAGACTTCTCCAGGCAGTCATGGTTTGTGTTACATTTCAGGTGCAGTAATTAAATATTGACTGCCAATGTAAGTCTAGGGAGTGGTGAAGAATCTTTACAACTGGCAGATTAAAATTTAATAGAGTTAAAAAAAAGTTAGCCTGATTATACCAAAAGTGAGTTATCATTTCAATCCTTCGGATACTGGGAATTGAACTCAGGACCTCACAGTTGCCATGCAGGTGTCAGTTTTTAAAATGTCCCATGGAATGATAGGTACAATGCGTAGTTCATTTTGAAAAGGGAGTCTTATACAACTTTTGAGAAACCTTAAGTGGAAAAAACAGTAACTTTTGTAACTTTTTTTCCAGCTAAACTAATACAGTGCCAGAATGCTTAAATATGTACAAGGCCTTTTGCTCTCCAGAGGATGCAGGGTGAGAAAGACCCTGGAGCCAGAAGCTAAAGTGTGAGTCTGTCTGATGCTGTCTTTGGCCAGGCTTCAGAGACACAAATGTAGATACAAGAGTGAATATATATCAGACAGGTGTGGTGGTGCAGCCCTGTAATCCCAGCACTCTGGGAAGCTGAGGTAGAAAGATAGGAAGTTCAAATGTATCCTGGGCAACTTAGCAAAAATCTATCGTGTTTTTTGTTGTTGTTGTTGTTGTTGTTTTGTGTGGTTTTTTGTTGTTGTTGTTTTTGTGGTACTGGGGATCGAACTCACTACTTTACACTTGCCAGGCAGGCAGTTATGCTGCTGAGTTAAATCCCCAGCCCCTCAAAAACCTGTCTTAAAAATAAAAAATGGGCTGGGAAATGTAGCTTAGTTTGAAGGCCCTAAGTTTAATTGCTAATATCCCTTCTCCCCCCCAAAAAAGGTGGGGCTAACTATGTCAATTTTGAAACGTGTTGCTACATTTGTACTTTTGTGTTGAATGATAATAGCATAGTTATGTCCAGGCTCTTAGCCAAACTCTCTCTTTTGTGGTTTTATTTTACTTTATTTATTTTTGTTTTGAGACCGGG